ATCGTTGAATGTAATGAAACGCCATTTTCTGGGTGAGACCTGGAGGCTCCCCGGCAACCCTCCCTTCCTCCCTCCCTTCGGTTGGCGGTTTTTGTGTTTTTGACATCCAGCCTCAGAACTGATGGGTGGATAGCCGGCGTGGGAGGTCTGGGGCTCCCCGTTCCCCCTCCCGGGGAGGGGGGAGCTGCGCAGACAGTGGCGCGGTGACGTGTAACGTCATACTAGTTTGCTTGTTTTCTGTTGGGGAGTTCTATCCACTAATTCGGCTTTAGGTAGCAATTTTAACCAGAATAGGGGTTTGTTTTGGAATGCTTACCTTTCTGGATGCTTGACCCGGTCGATGGCAGACATAGAATGCTTCCAACCACATGGGGGTTTCTATAGGCCATTGCTTCCCTTGCCTCTCTGAGGGGGCCAGGTTCTGGCCGTGGTCCCCGGTAGGCCCTAGAACTCCATACACATGACTGATGCCAAAGTCTGACATTAGCATATCAGCCTGGTAAAGCTCCTGGGAGCGTCCGGGTCTCACCCAGAAAATGGCGTTTCATTACATTCAACGCTGGTTTTTTATGTCCATTACGAGGTTCCAGCGTCATCCTGGCTGGCGAACTGTCCTATTTTTGCTTTGGAGGCTTGGCATTCTTTCTTTCTGTCGTTCCCACACGCTTGAGTGGCATGAGGTCTCGATGGTGGTTCAGATTTTCCTGGGGGGGGGGGGGGCAACCTTGAGCTCCACAATGAGTGCTTGTTTGCTCCTGCCCTTCCCTGGGATGTTGGCATTCTGCAGCTCCAGTGCAGTTTCCCTCCCTTTCGGCTGCGCAGGTGGTCGAGGACTTGCATGCCTGTGGCCTCTTGATTTTGGCCTTGTGCTTCTTTTCTCTCCTGGAGCTGTCTTCGGACCCCCTGGGGGTCCCAGGGGGTCCTTTCTGGAGAGGTCGTGCCAGGGCTGGGGGTTCCACTCATCGTGGTAGGCCACTGGTGCCAGTTTTGGGTTCGGCTCTGCCTTCAGACCCGCCTTCGTTTGGCTCCTGTTTGAGCCGGGTTCTTGGATGGTGTCCCTGGACCTCCAGGATGTTTATTGGCATGCCCCAATTCATCCGGGGTTCAGGGACTGGCTCAGTTTTGTTGTGGGGCATCAAGATTACCACTTTTGTTGTCTCCTGTTCGGGTTGAATCTGGCACGTCGTGTGTTCACATGCCTTATGCGGGTCACCGTGGCTCGTCTGCGTCTGTTAGGTGTTCGGGTGTTGGCCTACCTCGACGACTGGCTGGTTTGGGCTCCCAGCCGGTACAGTTGTCTGCTAGCCAGGGATTTGGTGCTTTTCCAGTTCGCCGGGTTCGGGTTCTTGGTGAACTGGAAGAAGGACTCCAGTTCTGGAGTCTGGTTCCCCTCCCAAGTTCGGTTGTGGCTGGGTCTTGTGTGGGACTCTCGGACCGCGTCCTGTCTTCTTCCGGAGTCTCTCCTCCAGCTGTGGTCCTATTTATGCCTGTTTCTGGGGGGCTCCCAGAAACAGGTGTAAGTCATGCGAATCTCCACCTCGACCAATCCTGCCGAAAGGCGGGATTGGTCGAGGTGGAGATTCTCATACCTCTTTCCCCTGGTTCAGCTGTTGTTCCAGGTCCTGACTTGCTTGGAGACTTAACAGGTAAGAGTAGTCCTCTTGGCCCCATGGTGGCCGGCCCAGCCCTGGTTTCAGGCGCTGCGTGCTCGGTGTCCGAATCCGGAGGTTTTCCTGCGGCTTTCCCACGGCTCTGCCTCTTTCAGCAGATCGGTCCGGTCCGTTATGAGATTGGTTCGATCTTCTTCTCGAGTTTTCGCGTCTGGAGTTTTTGACTCGAGTCTATCACCATCTGTATGGTGTCCCACCTGCAGGCTTTGTCTCAGCGGCAGTACTGTATGAAGTTTCCTGGCGGTCCTTCCGGTACTTTTTGTCTCTCCGTCGCTGTATTTCGCAAGATGTCTGGGGCGTTGTTTCACCTCTGGCCCGCTCATGTGCCACCTGAGCTGTCCTGGTCTTAGACAGGGTTCTCTTCTATTTGTCTTCTCCTCATTTTGTGGTGGCCCCTTCAGTTCTGGATTGCTTTTCTAAGGCCCTTTTTCTTGTTGGCATTGGCCTCTGGGGGTCGGGGAGCTTGATGCTCTCCTCCGGCACCGGGGCTTCTGCTCTTTTGGTCGTAATTACCTAAGTGTAATTACCTAAGTGTAGTTGCAGGATGAGAGCTACGCTCATGGTGTCCTGTCTTCCCAGCACTCTGTCATATAATGCTTTGAAACTACTGACAGTCTTGGCCTCCACCACCTTCTCACCTAACTTGTTCCAAACGTCTACCACTCTGTTTGCAAAAGTGAATCTTCTTATATTTCTTCGGCATCTGTGTTTAGCTAGTTTAAATCTATGACCTCTTGTTCTTAAAGTTCCAGGTCTCAGGAAATGTTCCCTATCGATTTTATCTATTCCTGTTACTATTTTGTATGTAGTGATCATATCACCTCTTTTTCTTCTGTCTTCTAGTTTGGTGGTAGGTTTGTGCGTTTGCAGCCTTCTCCCTCTTTTCTGGCAAAGAATGAGACTGCTGCTTTCTGGAGGGGTCCCTGGGTTGTTGATGTTTGGTTAGTCAGGCTGGGGGTGCCTCACGTGTTGTGTTCTGGTTGCGACGCTCCGCTGTTATTTGCGCGCCACGGCCTCGGTGGCTAGGGTTGCGCTTTGGGTTGATCCGGTCTCCCTTCTTCCCTGTTCCCGGGATCGGGTCTCTCAGATTGTCCGCAGGGGTTATTTGGTCTAGCCAGCCTGCAGTCTATCCCCGTGTCCATGATGTTCGTAAGTTTGCTGCACTTGCTGCCGTCTTCGGTAACATGTCTTTGGCTGATATTCGGGCCCGGGGTTTTTGGCTGTCGAACAGGGTCCTGGCTGCTTGCTACCTCATGAATGTTCCTGGGCCTAGTCAAGCCTGTGTCGCTTTGAGTTGGCGGTTGCAACCAGTTGTCTTGAGTTGAGGTGCGAGCACTGACTGCTTCCCGGGTAAGTCCCTCTAGTTTTTGTCTTTGGTGATGTAGTTCCAGGGATCCGAATGGGCTCCCCCCCCCAGAAAACAAGTGTTGAATGTAATGAAACGCCATTTTCTGGGTGAGAACTGGAGGCATCCCGGCAACCCCCCCACCCCGGTCGGCCTTTTTTTTTTTTTATTTTTTTTTTTTACATCAAAACCTCCCAAGAAAGGGGGAACTGCGCAGATGTGCGGCGCAACTTGTGTGACGTCATGCTTGTTTGCTCGTTTTCATTTGGGAAGTTATGTCCTCTCGTTTGTCTATTTTTGTCGTTTTAACCAGAATAGGGGTTTGTTTGACTTTTATTCTGATAAGATAAATTACCCCTATGCTGGTAAAAATAGGCGTTTACCTTTCTGGGTGCCTGTCCCGGTCGATGGCAGATATAGCAGATATAGTCGATGGCAGATATAATGCTCCAAATCACATGTGCATTTCTACAGGCCATTACTCCTCGTGCCTCTCTGAGGGGGCCAGGTTCTGGCTCGTGGTCCCCGGTAGGCCTAGAACTCCATTCACACTGATGCCAAAGTTTAGAGATATATACATCAGCCTAGATAGCTCTGGGGAGCCTCCTGGTCTTGCCCAGAAAATGGCGTTTCATTACATTCAACGCTGGTTTTTCTCAACTTTGCCCATTGCCAGGATTTGGACCCATATGTTCTGAAGATACAATAGGATCCTCATCTCCTTACTTGCCTGACATTCCCCAGCCTTGATGGTGATGTGTGGTGTGAATGGTTACCTTACCTTGAGGTTACCTTGAGGTGCTTCCGGGGCTTAGTGTCCCCGCGGCCCGGTCGTCGACCAGGCCTCCTGGTTGCTGGACTGATTAACCAGGCTGTTAGACACGGCTGCTCGCAGCCTGACGTCTGAGTCACAGCCTGGTTGGTCAGGTATCCTTTGGAGGTGCTTATCCAGTTCTCTCTTGAACACTGTGAGGGGTCGGCCAGTTATGCCCCTTATGTGTAGTGGAAGCATGTTGAACAGTCTCGGGCCTCTGATGTTGATAGAGTTCTCTCTCAGAGTACCTGTTGCACCTCTGCTCTTCAACGGGGGTATTCTGCACATCCTGCACATCATGGTTGTCACGTATCTGATGTATCGATTCAATCTCCTGGGTTAAATTTTCTGGTCCGCATTGAACATGGAAAAGAGCCCTCTGGGTTTTATTTTATGTAGTTCCCTATGGGGTCGCATGGTAAGTAAACTGAGGGTAGCTAATGATGTATGTAAACCCAGAAATAGAGTTGAATACTGTATAATGAAAGCTGGGTTAAATTGGGTTACATATATTGCTGGGTTACTACTTGGTAGCTTCCTGTTCCCACCCTGATGTCCTTGTTATCTGTGTTTTAGAACATGTTACACCTCGACTGTGGGAGGGCTTGCTCACGCTGACTTTTGGGTAGTTCGGGCAACTCTAGTAGTAGTCAGGGTTGTTAGATTAGTGCGGAATAAGCTGTGCCGAGTTGTGTGGCAACTAGTCATTTCCAAACTTTATTTTATTAGGAGTGTTTTTAGGGGCAGTTCATCTCAGTGAAGGGTTGACCTCTAATGCCATTGAGCTTACCCAGCACGACGAAATTGTCACTGGGGGCCTGGTGTTGTCACACTGTCTTTAACACATGCCAGTGTTGAAAGCTGAGGGTGTTACCCAGGTGTTACCCAGAAATAGTCATTTCATTGCACACTATTTTTAAATTGATGTAGCTGACAGTAGTTTTTAGTTAACCATAGTGCAACTTGATCTAAATTAATGCTATAGTGTAATGATGGTTTATTTAAATTTTTTTACCTTTTCAATTTTTGTAGGTACTCAAGTGTGATGAATTGATGGGTTATTTTTTACTTTAGGAATTTTAAGTGTTTTAGTCAGAATAAAATTAGTGCATGTATATTGATAATGACCAATAAGTGTTAAAAGTAAGGAGACATTGTTTGATATTGACAGATTTGGCAGCAGATGGTAGGGAGTGTGCCTCTTGAAGCTCTCCTGCCAGCAGTGTGCCCCATGGTCTCCAGCTGGCTGTTTCTCACCATGACCAACTGTAAAGTGCCACTAGATGCATCACTGCTGCTGCTTGCTCATCATCATAAGGTTAGCAGTGGGGGGGAAAGTGTGCATGTTGCCTGTGTAAAGTGTTGCAGGGGTGGAATAAAACACTTTGTGTAACCAATTGATATGCTATTTCCATTTCACTCCCATGCTTACCTTGGGTCTAAATTGGATAAAAAAATCTATTGTACGTTTGTAAGCAATTGAATGACCTGCTCTTTCCAGTGGTAGCCTTATCAAAATAAATACAAGTTAAAATTAAGTTTTTAATTCATATGGGCCATTTCAAATAAAAAAATATAGTCCAAGTAACTCAATATCATGCCATCAGTATTAGAATATACTAAATACATTCAACAACATATTAAGAAGAGAACATGATAAGAACAGAACAAGAACAAAAAGAGCTGAACTCTGGGAATAGAAGGCACGACACCAAGGCTTGGGGAAGTGTGAGAAAAGAGCTTGCCTCTCGCCTCTCGCCTCGCAAGCTAGACGAAGAAACGGGACAATCAATCAGGAATAGCTGTGGAACCGGTCTACTGAACTCTAGGAACATAATCTTATGTGCTGACTGAAGTGAGCAGGGTAAGGAAAACAGAGATTTTCCCAAACCTGAAAAAACATCCAGAAAGTACCGTACAGGCTTTGCAAAGCAAACTATAAATGTTGATTATGAAGCGGAAAAGTGAAAAAGTAAGTTGTAGTTTGGCAATGCTAATACATTGGTACCTTCGTTTACGAATTTAATCTGTAAATTAAATAATGTAAATTGAATTAATCCGTTCCACACACCCAAAAATATTAACTTAAAAATACATTATATTCATAATACTACTCATATTTTGTACTACAGTATGTACAAGTATATTTTACCTTTATTGAGGACTCTTGTTGGCATTTGAAAGACAGTGAGGAGGAGGAGGAGGAGAAGAGATGTTAGCGTTTGGAAGGGAAGTCCCCTTCCATTATAACATCAGGCAGTGATGGCATTTCTGGGATACACTCTCTCCTACTTTTGCAGGCATACCACTAGGACCTGGTTGTGGCTCACTGCTTGGTTTGTCTCACTAAAAACCTGTCTACAGACACTTGTTGGCTCTGTCAGACGTTTGGGCGCTCGGCAGTGGACTTCTTCGCGTCAGCGTGGTCGCTGCGCCTTTTGCTGTATGTGGCGCCCTTCCCTGATTGCGAGGCTGTTGGGGTCGATGCCTTTCGGCAGGACTGGTTGAGGTGGGAGATCCTGTACCTCTTTCCCTCAGTTCAGCTGTTGCTCCAGGTCCTGACTCGCTTGGAGACGTACCAGGGGAGAGTAGTCCTCTTGACCCCCTGGTGGCCGGCCCAGCCGTGGCTTCAGGCGCTGCTTGCTCAGTGTCTGAACCCAGTGGTTTTCCCACGGCTCAGCCTCTTCCAGCAGATCGGACCAGTGCATCATTTGGCTAGTTCGATCTTCTCCTCGAGTCTTCGCATATGGTATTTTTGACTCAAGTTTATCATCGTCTCTATGGTGCTCAGGTGGGTTCCTTGTTAGTTTCCCACCGGCTTCGTCTCGGCAGCAGTATGAAGTTTCCTGGTCGTTCTTCCGGTTCTTTTTGACTCTTCGTCGTTGTGCTTCGCTTTCGGTTCGGGTGGTGTTGCCCTTCCTCTCTTGGTTGTTCCAGGACCGTCATTTTATGCCGAATACTGTCGCCTCATATCGTGCGGGGCTGGCGGAGCTGGCAGAGCCACTTCAGCTTGCTTTCGGTATTGATGTTACTTCTGCGCCGTTTCGCAAGCTGTCTCCTGTGTTGTTTCACCTCTGGCCCGCTCATGCGCAGCCTGAGCTGTCCTGGTCGTTGGACAGAGTGCTCTCTTTTCTCTCTTCTCCTTGGCTTGTTGTGTTCATGATTGTTTCTTGAAGGCTCTTTTTTTTCCTGTTGGCATTGGCATCTTGGGTTGGGGAGCTTCATGCTCTTCTCCAGAGCAGAGGTTTCTGCTCTTTTGGTCGTGGTGATTGGTTTGTTTGTCTGCAGCCGTCTCCTTCTTTTTTGGCAAAGAATGAGACGGCTTCTTTCCAGAGGGGTCCTTGGGTTGTTGATGCTAGTTCAGGCTGGGGGTGCATCAGACTTTGTGTCCGGTTGCGGCCCTCCGCCGTTATTTGCGCGCCACAGCTTCTGTGTCCAGGGACTCGCTTTGAGTTGATCCCATTTCCCTCCTTCCCTGTTCGCGGGTGTGGGTCTCCCAGGTCGTCCGCAAGGTTATTAAGGCTAGCAGCCTGCTGTCTATTCCCGTGCCTATGACGTTCATAAGTTCGCTGCTCTTGCTGCCGTCTTTGGCAACGTGTCCTGGCCTGACATTTGGGCACGGTGATTTTGGCGGTCGAACAGGGTCTTGGCTGTGCTTTACCTCGTGAACGTTTCTGGGCCTAGTCGGGCCTGTGTCCTTTTGGGTCGGCAGCTGCAGTCAGTTTTCTTGACTTTGGGTTTAGGAGTGAGCAGCGACTGCCTCCTGGGTAAGTCCCTCTAATCTTCCTCTGTGGGTAGTTAGCTCCAGGGAGCCAAAGGGGTTCCCCCCAGAAAACCAGCTTTGAATGTAATGAACCAGCATTTTCTGGGTGAGACCTGGAGGCTCCCCAGCATCCCTCCCTCCCCCCCACCCCAGTCGGTGTTTTTTCGCGTGTTTTGATGTCCAGCCTCAGAACTGAAGGGTGGATGGACAATGCATTGATCTTTGGCTCCCCCTTCCCCCTCCCAGGGAGGGGGGGAGCTACGCAGACAGCAGCACGGTGACGTGTGACATCATGCTTGTTTGCTCGTTTCTTTTTGGGGAGTTCTATCCACTTGTTTGGCTTTTTGTAGCAATTTTTACCAGAATAGGGGTTTTGTTTTGGGACGCTTACCTCTCTGGGTGCCTGACCCAGTCAATGGCAGACATAGAATGCTTCCAACCACACGGGGGTTTCTATAGGCCATTGCTCCCCCATGCCTCTCTAAGGGGGCCAGATTTTGGCTTGTGGTTCCTGGTAGGCCCCACAGAACTCCAAACACATGATTGATGCCAAAGTCTGACATTAGCATATCAGCCTGGATAGCGCAGGGGAGTTTCCGGATCTCGCCCAGAAAATGGCATTTTATTTCATTCAACACTGTTTTTTTTTCGTTTCAGCTCGCGTGTCTGCAGGCGATGCTCGCTTCTTCCTTGGAATCTGCTTGGGCCTCTGGCTCTTAGATTGTCTTCACCCTTTTGTCCATTGCTGTTTGCAGAGTCTGCGGTGATGCAGTATCTGCAGGCGGCTTCGCCTAGTTGCCGTCCTATGTCAGAATTGTTGGTTCTCCGGGGAAGGGGGGGCAGGGGGGGCTCTAGAAGGCTGTCCCAGCGGGGTTGTGCCAGGGCTCGGGGTTGCTCTCGTGGTAGGCCAGTGGTGTCATGTTCGGCACCGGCACAGCCTTTGGTGTCGTCTGCTTCTATTCGGCGTGGGTGATCGCTCTTTTCACTGTTCAGGTGCTCGTAATGTGTGTCGGACCTTTTGCAGTTCGTCTCATTGATGAACCATTGGGGGATGGGGAAGCTCACTCTGTTTGCTCGTGCCTGGTCCTGCAATTCGTGGGCCTTTTGGGTCATTTCGTGCAGCCTGTGGTGGCGTTGAGTGGCTCCTCCTCCTTCAAGGAGTTTGGGGCTGGCAGGGTAGGCCTCTTCTCCTGTGCTCTGTCAAGTTGCCTCGGAGTGGGTTTGCTTGATACCTGGTTGATACCTGGTTGATGGGGTTCTGGGAGTTCGTCTACTCCCCAAGCCCGGCCCGAGGCCAGGCTCGACTTGTGAGAGTTTGGTCCACCAGGCTGTTGCTTGGAGCGGCCCGCAGGCCCACATACCCACCACAGCCCGGTTGGTCCGGCACTCCTTGGAGTGCTTGGGCATGGTAAAAAACGTCCTTGTCCCTCAGGTGGTTCTCTTTTCAGTTTCTGGTCCCGAAACGGGACTGAGCTGACCTCCGGTTCATTCTGGACTTGTCTCGTCTGAACCCGTGGGTTTATTGCCCCTCCTTTCAGATGACTGCTCTGTCCCAGGTCTGTCTTCTGTTGGAGCCGGGCGCTTGGATGGTGTCCCTGTACCTCCAAGATGCATATTGGCTCGTCCTGATTCATCTGCAGTTTAGGGACTGGCTCGGTTCTGTGGTGGGACCTTAAGGTTACAGCTTTCGTTGCCTTCGTGTCTGCTTCGTGTCGTGTCTGCTCGCCAGGGATTTTCACAGCTCGCCGGGTTTGGGTTACTGGTGAACTGGAGGAAGTCCCACTTGGTTCCCTCTTAGGTTTGGACTTGGCTGGGTCTTGTGTAGGACAGTTGCGTGGTGACTGTGGTGACGTCATGCTTGTTTTTTATTGGGGAGTTCTGCTTGCTAATTCGGCTATCGGTTTGCAATTTTAACCAGCTGTAGTTTGTATTGGAATTCCTACCTTTCTGGGTGTCTGACCTGGTAGATGGCAGACAGACTGCTTCCAATTACACGGGGGTGTCTTTAGGCCATTGCTCCTTGTGCCCCTCTCTGAAGGGGGCCAGGTTCCACCGCTGGTCCCCAGTAGGCCTAGAACTCCATCGATTAACTGTTGCTGTGGTCTAATATATTCACATCAGATTGGTATAGCTCTGAGGAGCCTCCGGGTCTCGGCCAGAAAATGGCGTTTCATTACATTCAATGCTTTTTTTTTTTTTTTAAGACTTTCATTTTTGTTCCAGCAATATTTCTTTATCTTATTGAGAGGATTCCAAGGAACTGTGGACCACCGAGTTTTATATAAAAAGAAATGCATCATGTAGGGGTGTAGTATTTACAATGTTGGTAAATTTGTAGCATTACTTTATGTAAAGGTAGCTTGTGGTTAGAATCTTTAGGAAGATTAAAATGTATCCACCACTGATGTTTGAGAACAGCATATCATAAGGTTTATAGGTATTCATTATATTACATAAGATTATACTTCCCGTCTCCTTGTTGAAGTAAATTGACACTGCTCATTTCGTTATATTTATGATTAGTTAATATTTACATTGTGCCATAATTGTTATATACAAATTAGAGCTCCATAGTAACTGGAAATCACATGAATATTTTTCCTCAGTCAGGTGAGGGACGGAGATTGCGTGGTACTGCTCAAAGTGATCCAGCGGATAGACCAGAGATAAAGTTTTACTTGGGGGGCTGCGACCAGTCGAGTGATGCATTGGAGAAACAAGAAGTCACAGTCAGGGCTGTGTGTGCTGCAACAAAACTTCTTGGTATGTAGACTATTGCATTTCCTCCATATTGTTTCCAATGCTTGTAGTTTGTCTATGTTTTTTAAATGGTTTTGTATTATTTTATGCTCTTGATGTCAATTTCTGTAAACAAATTATACTTTATGAAGCTTCATGTGCTTTAAAAATTATTGTTAGCCTTTCAATTTAAATAAGTATAAGTTATTTATATACACTGTTTGACATGTCAGTGATGCCTCCCCTATCCCCTAGAGCCTCATCTCCAAGGAAGAGGCCTACAGTAAAAAAATATCAAGGCAGCTATGTAGTTTTTTCTTTATACCATTATAGTCCCTTTCTAGGAGGGCTCCAAGGTGGCTCCCTGTTGCTAGCTGCTCTTGATTGCTCCACACATACTAAATTGTGAGAGGCCCTTGCAAGTTTTTAATTGCCTACCACAGACTAGAAGCCAAGACCTGGTCCCACTCAGAGGCACAGAGAGCAGAGCATACTGCATCAATAACTGAAGATGTAGCCACCAGGAAAGTAGCACAAGACAAAAGACAACAGCAGGGCAAAAGAAAATAAACAAAATATGATAATGTATTAAGTCATTAGGTCAGGTCACTGCTGGTTTTATATGGGTTTGGTTTATATGCTGATGGTCAGATATCCATCTTTTCTTTCCAGTACATAAACGACATATGAGAACAACATAAAATGATATAAAGACATAAAAACAAGCAGTGTATTGTGAAGACTAATAATAACAAACAGCAGCTTTCCCATGACTGTAATATCTCCATTGCTCAAAGAATTATGTATTAATAATAGGTTTTATCATTAATGTATAATGATTCACTGTAAATATATTGCTCTTAAAATAGAGCATTCTCTGTAACTAGCTGACATTGTAATTATAAGTTGTGAAGGATAGATGAAATTGTTAATATAATAATCTCCGTTGAGGTCTAATAATGACATTTTGTGCTTTCTCTAATCCTTTTTGCGCTACTGCTCACAGGATGAGTATGGGGTGCACAATAAACTAGCCACATTCGGCGGCATCAATCAAAAATTTGTACTGCGTCCACCATGTCGCTTGTTAGGTGGGTGATACTTTTCTCCCCGAGGCCTGTGATGTGTTGTCTTTGGGTCTTTGTCTTAGCTAGTTTCTGTTTTTGGATGAGACTTAATGGGCAGCTGCCACATTGAGCGAACAATTTTTTTTTGTGTGTATGATGTTTGCAGCCTGGCATCGATGTGAATGCCTTGGATTCAGCTCTATTGTGTGTCTTTGATTCAGAGTGAAAGCTGTTGGGGCTTTCAACTTGTTCCGAGTTTGTCGAATTTTCCAACTCCATGGTCGAGGACCGGGCCGCGGGGACACTAAAGCCCCGAAATCATCTCAAGATAACCTCAAGATAACCATCTGTTCCTCCTTGCCTGTCTGGTTTTGTTCACCAGGCCTCTTGAAGTCCTTCCTTGTTCTCAACTTCTGTGGCTGAGGGTTCAAAGGTCTGGGCTGGTTGGTTCTTCCTTAGGGGCCAACCCTCTGAGGAATGCTTCTGAGATTATCCTTTTTTAGAGGTGAATAGGTTACAAGAAACCTCAGTCAGGAAAGGACTGAACTAGCATCAAACCAATGCTGAGTGCAGATTATACTTTAATGACTGACCAGGGATGCATAGAGCAGCTGCAGGAGTCCAAATCCTTGGCACTCCTTATCCACTGGGTCGTGGAGCTTCTGGGACCTCAGAGGGAGGTCATCAGAGTAGCTCATGAGATCCTCACATCAAATAGAATTTATTTGATGTGTGCAGCCATGAACGCAGTTCAAATCCAAGTAATCCAGGCAACGTAAAAGGGATCACGTTTATAACGGAAATAATGGTGAGATAGTGATTCTCAATAAATAGTTTTTTTTTTTAAATTCATCAGCAAAAGATTAACTTGTTATTATATTCATTTCCTAACTTGCAGGTTGTCTTTCCCAGTATGTGATTAAGCCCATGCCTGGTGTTGAGTATCCACCCGAGGAAACACCAGATCTGTGCTACGTTCGCCTTCTTATTGCCCATCTCAGTTCGCGATCGGCTGTACAACGTCTTGGGGCTGGGGCAGTAGTGCGAGAATGGGCATCAATATGTCCCGAGCAAGAATGTCATCCCCAGCTACAAAGTGTGCTGCATACTTGCCTTACGGAAGTGGTGTACTATGATGAAATTGCTTTGTCTTTTACAAGGTAAGCGGGCCGGAACTCAGTTTCTCAAACTTGCTCAAATGCTTTCAAATTTTCTGTGCATAATCTACTAGGCAAATGCTCCAACATTATCTAAATGATCACCAAAGTACTGTACTTGAAAAACAAGAAAATCAAACATAATTATAAAATTAAATATTGAAAACTTCAGATTTTCAAACTGGCTTCAAAAATATAAAATATCACCAATTGCTCATTTGGTGTTATTATGCTCTCAGAATAGCATATGATCTTCATTTTCATAGATGTCAAATATAGGTTTTATGTAGATTAGTTTACTGTAAAAAAAAAAAGCATCAATATGGCATTTGAAATATGCGCCAAATATGCAAAATTTGCGCCAAAAAATTTCATGACTCCAAATGTTTAGGGTTTATGAAAGATCCATTTATGGGATTGTAGAATAGTCAGCTGTACTTACTGTATGGGAAAATGGTGAGAATCGATCAGAAACTGGATTTTTGAAGCTGACTCAAAGTTGAAATTCTAGTTTTAGAGATAACTGAAGTTGATATTATCGACAATGAATAAAGTACTGTACTGTAGTTCTAATTTATTAATTTACTTGTATGTTTTAATAAACATTGTTTGGTATTTGTACTGGAATATGTGAAAGTTGTAGGTCAATGTGTTGAAATGAAGTCAAACGATTCTTCGCGGCAGGGGATCGTATTCCAGGGACCATAGGATTAAGGACTTGCCCGAAACGCTACGCGTACTAGTGGCTGTACAAGAATGTAACAACTCTTGTATATATCTCAAAAAAAAAAAAAAAAAAAAAAGAAGTCGAGAAAAAATACCCCCCATACACAAAATAAAGGATTGATTATAATGCTTTAGGGAATATATGTAGGCTTTATGTAAGTGTTAAAGCCCTAATCTGGTCCCGAATTATCTAAACAACCTAAAGAGACAAAGAAACTAGAGTTTGAAATCTGTTAAAAAATCAGCCAAAACATATTCAAAGTCCTATGTTCTACCAGTTGTAATTGATTGATTTGTTAAAAATTTTCACTCTATCTTCACATAATTAGGGACAGGTATGCACTCTCCAGGATGTGGTGGTTACAACAAAATCATATAATAAGCAAAGGAGATTTTTTTTTTTTTTTTGCACATTGGTGACGGTAACAGATATTTAACACTGGATAACAGATATCTGGACCTAAAAAAAATAACACTGGATAACAGATATCTGGACTGGATAACAGATATCTGGACCTAAAAATGGCTTTCGAGTGATTTTTCACATAAGAGGTTGTTCTGGAAACTGGAAAATATTGGAGGGGTGACAGGTAAGCTTCTAACATGGATGAAAAATTTTCTGACTGATAGAAAAATGAGGGCAGTAATCAGAGGCAATGTATCGGACTAGAGAAATGTCACAAGTGGAGTACCATAGGGTTCAGTTCTTGCACCAGTGATGTTTATTGTCTACATAAATGATCTACCAGTTGGTATACAGAATTATATGAACATGTTTGCTGATGATGCCAAGATAATAGGAAGGATAAGAAACTTAGATGATTGTCATGCCCTTCAAGATGACCTGGACAAAATAAGTATATGGAGCACCACTTGGCAAATGGAATTTAATGTTAATAAATGCCATGTTATGGAATGTGGAATAGGAGAACATAGACCCCACACAACCTATATATTATGTGAGAAATCTTTAAAGAATTCTGATAAAGAAGGAGATCTAGGGGTGGTTCTAGATAGAAAACTATCACCCGAGGACCACATAAAGAACGTTGCGTGAGGAGCCTATGCCACGCTTTCTAACTTCAGAATTGCTTTTAAATACATGGATGGCGATATACTAAAGAAATTGTTCACAACTTTTGTTAGGCCAAAGCTAGAATGTGCAGCGGTTGTGTGGTGCCCATATCATGAAAAGCACATCAACAAATTGGAAAAGGTGCAATGACATGCTACTAAGTGGCTCCCAGAACTGAAGGGCAAGAGCTACAAGAAGAGGTTAGAGGCATTAAATATGCCAAAACTAGAAGATAGAAGAAAAAGAGGCGATATGATCACTACGTTCAAAATTGTAACAGGAATTGATAAAATTGATAGGGAAGAATTCCTGAGACCCGGAACATCAAGAACAAGAGGTCATAGATTTAAACTAGCGAAACAAAGCTGCCGGAGAAATATACGAAAATTCACTTATGTAAATAGTGGTAGATGGTTGTAACAAGTTAAGTGAGAAGGTGGTGGAGGCCAAAACCCTCAGTAATTTCAAAGCATTGTATGACAGAGTGCTGGGAAGACGGGACACCACGAGCGTAGCTCTCATCCTGTAACTACACTTAGGTAATTACACTTAGGTAATTACAGGGAATAGCTCAACTGACAGCTGAATCACACAAGGTCTGCTTGAAGCACGTGCCTGTGAGGAGGGTCAGAAAGAGGACCACTCTAGAAAGAGAACGCAGACGACTGTACAGGAGAAGGAAAAAAATAACGGAAATGCTTCGGCAGACACAACTATCACTGGTATCCCCAGGGAGCCGGTCGGCCGAGCAGACAGCACGCTGGACATGTGATCCTGTGGTCCCGGGTTTGATCCCGGGTGCAGGTGAGAAACAATGGACAAAGTTTCTTGCACCCTATGCCCCTGTTACCTAGCAGTAAAATTGGTACCTGGGAGTTAGTCAGCTGTCATGGGCTGCTTCCTGGGGATGGAGGCCTGGTCAAGGACTGGGCCACGGGGACACTAAAGCCCCGAATCAACTCAAGATAACCTCAAGATAACCATCACAAGAAAGAAAAATAAACCTAAGAAGGGAGATCGAAGAAATAGAACAAACGTTGAAGCAACATACGAGTCTGAGGAAATGGAATTGGAACAGAAAGCTATACAAGAAATAAAGAAAAATCCAAAATATTTTTTCACATATGCAAAATCAAAATCAAAAACCTCGACCAGTATTGGACCGTTAATTACAAATGAAGGTACGTACACAGAGGACAACAAAGAGATTAGTGAAATTCTAAGAAGCCAGTATGAGGCTATGTTTAGCACACCAATAAACAACATGAATGTTGATGACCCAGACAGCTTCTTTATGAATGACATTCAAGCTGCAGATAATATAACGGATATTAACACGAACTCAGAAGACTTTGAAAGAGAAATTGACATTATGCCCATGCACTCAGCTTTTGGGCTTGACTCATGGAATTCAATATTCAAAAAGAAATGTAAAGTACCAATATCGTGAGCACTCAGCGTAATATGGAGAAAGAGCCTGGATACAAGGGAGATACGAGTAGCACTTAAATCTGCAGATATAGCTCCTCTGCACAAGGGGGGTAGTAAAGCCTTGGCAAAAAATTATAGACCAGTTGCACTAACATCACACATAATAAAAGTGTTTGAAAGAGTGATTAAGAATCAAATTTCTAGTTTTATGGAAAATAATGAGCTACACAATCCAGGACAACATAGATTTAGAGTGGGAAGATCCTGTCTATCACAGTTACTCAACCACTATGACAAAATCACAGAAGCTCTAGAAGAAAAGCAAAATGCAGATGTTGTATACACAGACTTTGCAAAGGCGTTCGACAAATGTGACCATGGGGTGATAGCACACAAAATGAGGTCAATGGGAATAACTGGTAAAGTAGGATGCTGGATACTCAATTTCCTGTCGAACAAAACACAAAGAGTAACAGTCAATCAAATAAAATAGAGTCCAAGCATAGTTAAAAGCTCTGTACCTCAAGGTACAGTCCTTGCACCGCTACTGTTCCTTATTCTCATATCAGATATAGACAAAAATACACATCACAGCTTCGTGTCATCCTTTGCAGAAGACACAAATCAGCATGAAAATTACCTCTGCTGAAGACATTGAAAAATTACAAGCAGATATCAACAAAGTTTTCGATTAGGCAGCAGAAAATAACATGATGTTTAACAGTGATAAATTTCAGGTACGGCAAAAATGAGGATGTGAAACATAATACAGGGTACAAAACACAATCGAATCTGCCCATAGTAGGAAATGTAAAGGATTTGGGAAAAATGATGCCCGACGATCTAACGATTAGGGAGCATAACCAGGCAAATATTGCATCAGCCAGAAAAGTGATAGGATGGATTACAAGAACTTTCAGATCCAGGGATACCATTACAGTGGTTGTACTCTTCAAGTCACTTGTGCTGTCCCGTCTTGAGTACAGCTCAGTACTTACTTCCCCCTTCAGAGCAGGAGAGATTGCTGAAATAGAGGGAATACAGAGAACATATACGGCACGCATAGACGAGATAAAACGCCTAAATTATTGGGATCGTCTCAAAGCTCTCCAAATGTACTCTCTAGAAAGGAGATGAGAGAGATACCAAATAATATACACATGGAAAATACTGGAGGGCCAGGTCCCAAATCTACACAGTAAAATAACAACGTACTGGAGTAAGCGATATGGAAGAAAATGCAGAATAGAACCAGTGAAGAGGAGAGGTGCCATGGGCACAATCCGAGAACACTGTATAAACATCAGAGGTCCGCGGTTGTTCAACGTCCTCCCAGCAAGCATAAGAAATATTGCCGGAACAACCGTGGACATCTTCAAAAGAAAACTAGATAGTTTTCTAAGAGAAGTTCCGGATCAGCCGGGCTGTGGGGGGTATATGGGACTGCAGGTCGCTCCAAAGAGCCTGGTGGACCAAACTCTCACATGTCGAGCCTGGTCTCGGGCCGGGCTTGGGGAGTAGAAGAACTCCCAGAACCCCATCAAGCAGGTATCAAGCAAACATAATTACCTTCTTAAAGTCATAAAACTTAACCTTCCTATTTTCGTCTGATTAAAACACACAGGCATGAACGAATAAATACACAAATGATGGGCAACAGATAGGAACAACTGTAATACAGGAGGTAGCCTAGGCTAGGCTATCTACAGTCATGACACAACCCACTCCCTTTTTGCAAGTCTGTCCATCCATAAATTCAGACTGTGGCAGGAAAGACCAAATTATGATTTAGTGATAACTGCAGACTCCTAGTACTAATTGTCTCATTCATATAGTAAGCAATTACCAAACTATGGCAAAATTTTTTAATGGGTTGTGGTTAACTCCATTACATCCTTATACATAGATATATTGTGACGAAGTTTACATCACTGGCATATAAGTTTGGCAGTAATAAAAAAAATGCCAAATGACATTGACCACAATAATTCAGTGTGACAATAAAATGATGATGAATGCATTTTGGGGATTAAATTTGATTTATGTAATGGTAGTAGGCTAATATTTTTAGATGTGTACTGGTTATACAATAGCCTATTAATTTCACTGGAAATGTTTAACAGATTACAACAAGAAACGCGCGATTTCATGGCAATGCTGAGACACTACAAGTTACCCCTGGACGAGTCCTTTGCCTCGGCTCCTGTCCTTACACTGGAGCAGGTAAGATTTTGTTTTTGTAGTTTAACTGTTTATTTCAGTAGATATTCATTAAAAATATATTTATTTTAACTTATATGGACATTGGGATAATGATATACTGTACTGTAATTACCCCCGTATTTAATTAAGTATTTACAATTAATGGTTTAGCCCTAATTTATGTTTTAATTTTGGAAAATACAGAACCTCACATCTTGACCAGACCACACACTAGAAATTGAAGGGACGACGACGTTTCGGTCCGTCCTGGACCATTCTCAAGTCGATTGTGATGAGGACAGGTAGGGACAGGCATTAAATAGGCAAGAGAGAGCTGAGGAGGAAAGTCAGGTGTAGGGGATAGTAGTAATGAGAACTGCAGCAGGCCTATTGGCCCATACGAGGCAGCTCCTATTATAACCACCGAAGGAGATAGTAATAGGAATAAGAAGAGGATAGCAAGGGAGCGTAGAAGACAATGAACAGAAAAAGGGAGAAGAGAGAAAGAAAGAAATGGAAGGGGGGGAAAGCTTATGTTAAGTCACGTTTGTTAGAAAGATTAGAGCATTTGAGTATATACTGTGAAAGGGAAGAGTCCACAGCAACAAAGCCAGGACTCAAGTTCATGTTGGGTACATTGTTAATAAGAGCCGATTCTGCAAGACGGCGTCTGTGTAGAGTAGAGGCAGGAAAGATTATTTTGGAGGAAGACCAATCAATGGGATGATTAGAATCCCTCACATGGCAGAAGAGAGCATTGTTAGTGTCTGCAGACATAACACTTCTCTTGTGTTCTTTAAGTCTGTCATTCAGTGTACGGCCAGTTTCGCCAAAGTATTGGAGAGGACAAGATGAACAGGAAATAGAGTAGACACCAGCAGCATTAGAAGCAGGAGGAGCAGTGTGAACTAGATTGCTACGAAGTGTGTTAGTTTGTCGAAAGGCGAGTTTAATGTCAAGAGGACGAAAGGTATTGGTAAAAGTTTTGAGTTCAGATATGAAGGGAAGGCATAGTACAGTGCTACTAGTGTTGGAAGCAGGTTTAGGATGAAAGAAATTTCGTTTAGCTTGAGAGTGGGCACAGTTGATGAAATGCAAAGGATAACCAAGGCGAGAGAATGAACTACAGATCTGATTTGAATGATTTGAGAACTACAAATCATTCTCTCGCCTTGGTTATCCTTTGCATTTCATCAACTGTGCCCACTCTCAAGCTAAACGAAATTTCTTTCATCCTAAACCTGCTTCCAACACTAGTAGCACTGTACTATGCCTTCCCTTCATATCTGAACTCAAAACTTTTACCAATACCTTTCGTCCTCTTGACATTAAACTCGCCTTTCGACAAACTAACACACTTCGTAGCAATCTAGTTCACACTGCTCCTCCTGCTTCTAATGCTGCTGGTGTCTACTCTATTTCCTGTTCATCTTGTCCTCTCCAATACTTTGGCGAAACTGGCCGTACACTGAATGACAGACTTAAAGAACACAAGAGAAGTGTTATGTCTGCAGACACTAACAATGCTCTCTTCTGCCATGTGAGGGATTCTAATCATCCCATTGATTGGTCTTCCTCCAAAATAATCTTTCCTGCCTCTACTCTACACAGACGCCGTCTTGTAGAATCGGCTCTTATTAACAATGTACCCAACATGAACTTGAGTCCTGGCTTTGTTGCTGTGGACTCTTCCCTTTCACAGTATATACTCAAATGCTCTAATCTTTCTAACAAACGTGACTTAACATAAGCTTTCCCCCTTCCATTTCTTTCTTTCTCTCTTCTCCCTTTTTCTGTTCATTGTCTTCTACGCTCCCTTGCTATCCTCTTCTTATTCCTATTACTATCTCCTTCGGTGGTTATAATAGGAGCTGCCTCGTATGGGCCAATAGGCCTGCTGCAGTTCTCATTACTACTATCCCCTACACCTGACTTTCCTCCTCAGCTCTCTCTTGCCTATTTAATGCCTGTCCCTACCTGTCCTCATCACAATCGACTTGAGAATGGTCCAGGACGGACCGAAACGTCGTCGTCCCTTCAATTTCTAGTGTGTGGTCTGGTCAACATACTTCAGCCACGTTATTGTGACTCATCGCCTGCACCTCACATCTTGTTTGCTGAGACTAACATTAAGTAGTATTTGAAATTTATTTTCATAAAATGGAAATATTTAACTTTAATGGAAAGAAAATTCATATTGCAGATTCAGAATCTGAGTGGACACGTAGCACTCACTCTGTTCTCTGGAGGCCGCCTCAGACCTAAGGTCCACAGCACGCTGGAGGAGAGACGCAAAGCCATCCAGAGCAGTGTCTCCCAAACCTCCACTGACCAAATTACTTTGGCTACGACGTGAGCACATTTCTGTTATTGCATTGATCTTGCCAGCAGTACAGTACTGCACTCAAACTATAACCAGTGTTGCCTGGCTATAAAGAGTTATGTAACTGATAATGCAGAATATGAGAGCAGCAACACGTGTTGCTTCTGGCGTACTCTGCAGGGTTTGTAGTGAAGGCTGTTTATGTTCTTTGTCACACTGAATATTAATACATAAACATTAGTTGTCAATTTTGGAAGTGCTTGAATCATGTGCATTGAAGGCTATGTAAATAATATTAATTTAAATTGTATTTCACTTATTGAAAGTAAATAGTCATTATTTCTCTAACCCAGAAATACAGTTACATTATTTATTATGGCCATGGTTGTTTTTAATTTATTCATCTACTTTCCCCTCAGTTTAAAGAATGATTAATTTTCCCTCATGCTTTGAAATTCACTGTACAGTATTTTTATATATACAATGGGGCCTCGACTTACGATGCTAATCCGTTCCCAGAGACGGATCGTAAGTCGAAATATCGTAAGTCGATGCGATTTTTCCCATAAGATATAAAGGGATTTGAATTAATTCCTTCCCCACCCTCCAAAATATTAACATACAAATACATTTTATACTGAATACAATGTTTTTTTCTAACTACAATACAGTAACAACGTTTCACTTATCTTTATGGAGGGCTCTTGATGGCATATGGAAGATGATGATTAGGGGGGAGGAGGAGAGTTGTTACTGTTTGGAAGGGGAGTCCCCTTCCATTATCACATCAGGCAGTGATGTTTTCTCTGGGGTACTCTCTCTCTCTCCTACGTTTTGCCTGAATACCACTAGGACCTGGTTGTGGTTCAGTGCTTGTTTGTCTCACTACAAATTTGTCAAGATACATTTTTTTCCCTTCTTTTTAACATTAGTCGGTAATGATGCATCACAGTGTCATTGAATAGGTTAAGGCAACGACATACTGCAGCTTGATTTGGGTGAGTCGTTTCAGCATAGGTTTGCAATTCTTCCCATATTGCACACATTTTCTTAATTTTTGAGAAACATCCTCTACTGGCACATCCTCCCCTGAAGAAATTTCCTCAGCTACCTCTTCTTGCTGCTCCTTTTGAAGGGCTTGGAGTTCTTCGGTGATCAGTTCTTCGTTGTGTTCTTCCACCAACTCCTCCACATCAACACCATCCAACTCCAAACCCAATTGCCGACCCAGAGAAACAATTTCCTCAACGAGAGGCACTTCAGGTTCAGGCTCAAACCCCTCAAAGTCTCGTTCTGCAACACAATTAGGCCACAGTTTTCTCCAGCCAGAGATCATGGTTCTTACAGTCACTTCTTGACAGGCTTTGTCAACAAGTTTTAAAGCACTATAAATGTTAAAATGGTTTTTCCAGAACTCTTTGAGGGTGAGGTTTGTGGCATCCGTCACTTCGACACATCTCCGGAAAAGTGCCCTTTCATAAAGTTTCTTAAAATTGGCAATGATTTTCTGGTCCATAGGCTGAAGTAGAGGAGTGGTGTTGGGAGGAAGAAACTTTATTGTAAGAAACTTAAATTCCTCATCCAATGAATACTCCAAGCCTGGAGGATGGGCAGGAGCATTATCGAGGAGAAGCAGGGCCTTGAGTGGCAAACTGTTCTCCTGCAAATATTTTTTGATGGCAGGGCACACCACCATATTCACCCACTCCGTAAAAATTTGCCTAGTCACCCATGCCTTAGCATTAGCCTTCCACATCACACACATTTTGTGTTTCTGCACATTATATTTTTTGAAAACCCTTGGATTTTCGGAATGATACACAAGCAATGGTTTAATTTTCAAATCGCCACTTGCATTACCACACAACACAAGGGTAAACCGATCTTTCATAGGCTTGTGTCCAGGCAATGACTTCTCCCCCTTGGTAATGTATGTTTTCTTTGGCAATCTTTTCTAGAATAGCCCTGTCTCGTCACAATTAAACACTTGTTGTGGTAGGTATACCTCACTCTGCACAAAATCTTTAAATTCGCCAATGAATCTTTCAGCCGCTGGTTTGTCTGTGCTGGCAGCCTCCCCATGCCTCACAACACTATGAATTCCACTTTTTTCTAAATTTCTCAAACCATTCCCTGCTCGCCTTAAACTCTTTCACTTCTGCATCACTCGTTCCAGGGGTTTTCTTTAAAAGGTCTTCATGCAATTTTCTTGCTTTTCACAAATGATGGCCTCCGAAACTCCATCACCCGCTAACTCCTTGTTGTGTATCCAAATTAATAATAACTGTTCAACATCCTCAAGTGTTTGTGTTCTATGTTTCGTGATTATTGATATGCCTTTTGCCACTTTAGCACTCATAATGTCCTTTTTCTTAGCCAGTATGGTGGATATTGTTGACAGATTTGTTGTACTGCCAGGCCAGTTCACCTACCCGCACACCATCTTCATATTTACGAATGATCTCTTGTTTCTGCTCTATGGTCATCCTTACATGGGATCTTACATGGGTGAGCAGTATTGGTGGCACCCACAGATGCTTGGGTGAGCAGTATTGGTGGCACCCACAGATGCTTGGGTGAGCAGTATTGGTGGCACCCACAGATGGCTGGGTGAGCAGTATTGGTGGCACCCACAGATGGTTGGGTGAGCTGTATTGGTGGCACCCACAGATGCTTGGGTGAGCAGTATTGGTGGCACCCACAGATGCTTGGGTGAGCAGTATTGGTGGCACCCACAGATGGTTGGGTGAGCAGTATTGGTGGCACCCACAGATGCTTGGGTGAGCAGTATTGGTGGCACCCACAGATAATTAAATTTTGCTGAAGAATTTAGTGAGTAATTTGTGCAAAGTTTGTGTTTTGTGGTTAGTACTGGTATGTTGGAAATTAGTTTTTCCTTAATGTGTCTATGGATCAAGTGCGGATGTGAGAAGCTGCTTCAAAGAAACCAGGAGATAATATCCTATAAACCTCATAATCCCACTATTGTCAACAGGACTCAGGCAATAATCTCCGGTGCAGTTGTACGATTTAAAATTCTTCCGCCTAAGCTCAACCCTGTTATCAAGCCACTAATGGATAGTATTAAGAAAGAAAAAAATCAACAGCTACAGGCAAGTATAATTTTATTTATCTAAGTATTATATATTTACAACTGCCTGCATTGATGAGTTAGGTTAAATACTTGTAGCTTATATTCTTAAACTTTCTTTTAACACAAGTTAAAAGTAGTAGGTACAAGTAGATGACATATAGCTCATCATTTCATTAATACTGTGTCATGTTTCACACTGTAAAGTGAAACTAATTCAATAATCCAACCGACACATGGAAAGAAAGGAAGGACGGGAGGTTACAGCATGACCTGGAAGCTCTTCTTATGTCACATGCTGGCTAATTCATCATCACTTAACTTTATTTTCATGAGTGGGTCGTGTTATTTACATTGAACTGCATTACTGTATAGTGAGCCAGTCTCTGGTTAAACTGACTGAACTTCTCCATCATACCTTCTTGTTTTCTCTTATGGTTGTTTCACTTAATACAGTATAGTTTTCACCTGTTTTCTGTAACATAGTAGGCCAAGTATGCAGCTGTGTTGTTTTTCACTGTTTTTCATCATAGCTTAACCCCTTAACTGTGCCAGCCAACAAAAGTCATTCTAAGAGTTGTGCTATTTTTTTGTAATTAGGCTACTTTTAAGTTTTTTTTTAAGGTTTTCATCACCCTCTGTGTTTTGAAATGAAAATAGTTGAGTTTTGAAACATTTTGACATTAAATTTACCTGAACACTTATAAAAACAACAAAAATATGTCCTTAACAATTGCACTATGGCAGTTTTGCCAAAAACAGGTGTGCAGTGCAGGGGTTAAATAATGTATATATGCTACCCAACAGACTTTGGCCGCCGAGGACCTTAGCAAGCTTTTAGAGCTGTGTGTTGATCGGTCAACAAGTCCAAATGGTAAAGTGATTAAAAATCTCGCATCTTTCCTCTGCGTCGATCAAGAGTACACTCCTAAGATCAAGCAACAGGTGTGAATTTCTTAAATTTGTTTTTTTAATTTTACTTCAAGTATATCCTTGAACTCTAGCAAGAGAATAAAAGTATCACACAGCCAATATCATTTTACTTAGATCAATAATCTTTAAGTATTGATTAGCCTTAATAGCTTCAGCTTGTGGTCGTTAATATTTCTGTGTGCTCTGGCCAAGAGCTATTCAACTATTCTCATCTGGGCTTATTTTTGTCTTTATAAATGATATTTATCTGTTTCTGAGAACTCTAGCATTAAGATTTTGACCTCTTGCAGAATGTCCTTAAAGGCTCCAGAAATATGTCACAAGAATAAAGATAAATTTATTTATTAAAAAATCAATGCATAGAGTAATTAGAGAAGTGCAGTTGTGCCATAAGGACAATATTATGTCATAATTCAAGTTAATTATCATGAAAGCCAATTCTTGAGTTATTACATCATGGTCAACTGGATATTTATTTTTTGAATAACCCAACAAAATATATATTTCAATGGGAAGGCAAGGAATTAAATGAAATAATGATTATACCATGATTATGCCCGTGTGTTGTGTGTGATCAGTGTGGCTGGTGCTGTAGGGCCGACCACGCTGTCACACACCCGTGTGTTGTGTGTGAACAGTGTGGCTGGTGCTGTAGGGCCAACCACGCTGTCACACACCCGTGTGTTGTGTGTGAACAGTGTGGCTGGTGCTGTAGGGCCGACCACGCTGTCACACACCCGTGTGTTGTGTGTGAACAGTGTGGCTGGTGCTGTAGGTCCGACCACGCTGTCACACACCCGTGTGTTGTGTGTGAACAGTGTGGCTGGTGCTGTAGGGCCGACCACGCTGTCACACACCCGTGTGTTGTGTGTGATCAGTGTGGCTGGTGCTGTAGGGCCGACCACGCTGTCACACACCCGTGTGTTGTGTGTGAACAGTGTGGCTGGTGCTGTAGGGCCGACCACGCTGTCACACACCCGTGTGTTGTGTGTGAACAGTGTGGCTGGTGCTGTAGGGCCGACCACGCTGTCACACACCCGTGTGTTGTGTGTGAACAGTGTGGCTGGTGCTGTAGGGCCGACCACGCTGTCACACACCCGTGTGTTGTGTGTGAACAGTGTGGCTGGTGCTGTAGGGCCGACCCTCATCAGCTTCTTAACCCTTTGGCTTTGACACCACTTTTTCTCACCTCTTCTGACCAAGGCTCAAAATGTAACCTGAAAGTTAATTATTTAAAGATCTTGATTTATTTGAACATTTCTAGTAAGAAACAGACCTCCTTTTATAACAAAACTAGTAAAACTAGGCTGTGTGTGTGTGTTCCAATACCTATAATATAATTACTGTATAAATAAACCACTAGCCATAATACTTGTAGGAATTGTTAATTTTTAGTAGGGTTACAGGCTACCTCCAAAATCTGGATTATCAGGTGTATCGTTCCAGACCCGATCAGGATTTTTCATGAAATTTTTCCCTGTAACTGTAAGGTTTGCTTACAACATTGCATAAGGCATCATACCAACAAGTATGGTGTGATGTCTTATGCAAAGGGTTTATACCAGAAGGAGCCAATTATGGTTGCTGGAAGACAGACATTCAGGGAAAAAGGGTTTTTGTCCACCTAAAGATTTTTCTATTTTCAACTTAAGATTACCTGTCTATCAAAAAAAGCTATGTACATGTACTATAAATGCAATATATGATAAACATAGGTTTCCCTTTTATAAATTTATTTTGTGGTTGTGCAGTGTTGTTATACTTAGCAGGTAAATAGCAGCAGTCCCCGTGGTATAGTGGTAAGACACTCGCCTGGTGTTTCGCGAGGGTTTGTGTCCTGGCCCGGGAGGATTTACCGGGCGCCAGCTCCCAAAATAATTTGGGAGCTGGTCGGCCGAGTGGAAAGCACGCGGGACTTGTGATCGTGTGGTTCTGGGTTTGATCCCAGGTGCTGGCGAGAAACAATGGGCAGAGTTTCTTTCACCCTATGCCCCTGTTATCTAGCAGTAAAATAGGTACCTGGGTGTTAGTCAGCTGCTACGGGCGGCTTCCTGGGGGTGGAGGCATGGTCGAGGACCGGGCCGCAGGGACACTAAAAGCCCCGAAATCATCTCAAGATAACCTCAAGATATACCCTCTGTTTAACCTGACAGTAAAATGGGTACCTGGTTGTTAAACAATTTGGTGGGGTCGTGTTCCTGGGAACACAGGATTAACCCTTAGACAGCGCAATACATACATATATGATTTGACAAAAAATAATTTAAGATAAGTTTTTAAAACTTGCACAAACACTTTCCAATTTTTTTTTTTTTTTTTTGCATAATCAACTAGGCAAATTCTCCAACTTTGATCACAGCAGATTCTCGACCCTTGTGGATTTGTTCATTGTTGCATCACGCTATTGTGATTTCTGTGTGTAATGAAGTAAAGGCAAAGAGGTAAAACAGCCTATTGACATAGCTCGAGTGCATAGGGGGAGTTGTATAAAACTCTGGTTTGTGTCTCGGAGAGGCTGCAGGATCCAAGTAAGGTACAAATTCTGCTTTCAACTCTTTTGACCATGTTGTAGCTCAGTCGATTAAGGCAGCGTCTGGGACGATCTCGGACGTAGGTTCGAATCCTCGTCACGGCCCTTGTGGAGTTGTTCATATATTTAAGGTATCCTTTATATAAGTGAAAAAGCCCTAACATGGTCCCTAATCATCAAAACAACCTAAAGAGACAAAGAAAATAGTTTGAAATCAGAGAAAAAATCCGCCCCAAAAAATTAAGTCTCAAGTTTTGATAGTTGTGACTGACTTATTTGTTGACTATTTTCACATAGTTATGAAAACATATGCATTCTCCAGGATGTAAAAGTTAAAACAAAATCAGACAATAAACAAAGGAGAAAAAATAAGTAAAATCTTAAAAATTCCCTAAAAAAATATTTTTGGGTCATTGATGAAAGTAACATATACTGTATTAGCATTGGACAATGTATTTATATGATATATAACAAAATAAATCATATTAACATAGTTATTTATTATTATTTGTGTTATGTATTACTCAGCCATGATATAAAGGCACCAACTGCATATCCACTTTGTGGACCCTTCTTACTACTATTGTTCTTTGAGCATTGGACAGGTGCTTGCATCTCTTTATTACTGCATAATCCTTCAGTTACAGTTATTAGGAGCTGTTCTTCTTATCAATAAAACATTCTTATTTTTCAAACAAATTTCTAAAATCAATTTCTGAAAATATTTTTATGAGAGTTTCACGACACTGAAGTAAATAAGTTGGAGATTTGTTAAATATTTTTAAGTTATTTTTACATAATTTGAATATTTTTTGATGTCATGCCCCCTAAATTTGCTGTAATATGCGCGGTCCAATGGTTAAGGACTTGCAAAAAATGCTACGCATGCTAGTAGCTGTACAAGAATGTAAGAACTCCTGTGTATACATGTAAAAAAAAGTAAAAAAATAATAAATAAATAAATATTTTTCAATTTTTCTTTATTATGCACCCCATACCCATCCCATGGGTGGTGGTGGAAAGGATTACAGAGGCACATGGTGGGTTCAGGAACTGAACCCCAGAGTTTGTTTAGCTAAGCAAGTGACAATCTTTTGAAGCTAGTTACACAATTGTTAATGTTATATATATACATGTACATACATATATATATATATATATATATTTACAATCATTTACACAAATACATATAAATACTGTATAGCATTAAACATTGTTATATTTCAGGAAAGTGATAAATCTGGAACCAGTAGCACAGCTGGCAGCAAAAAGGGTGTACTCAGCTTGTCTTCACAATTAAAGGTATGAAAGAATGTGGCAGAGTTCCTTGTAATAATGTTTATAATGTTTTCAAACCCTGATTCTTCATGGAGTTGATATACTATATATTGATGAAATACGCAGGTACACCATTTGTGGGTAAATCCCCTCAGTAGCTCCCTTCAGTTTGTCACTGATGCTGTAGTGTCACGTTCAACACACAAGACCTCTGTGATAAACTTCCCATTAGTGGCAGGTACCATTCTAATCCAAAAAAACCTAGCGTTGAATGTAATGAAACTCTATTTTCTGGGGGAGACCCGGAGGCTGTCGGGAGCAATACAGGGCTTATGTATATATATATTAGACCGTGACAATAGTCAATCGAAGGAGTTCTAAGCCTACCGGGGACTAGAGCCAGAACCTTCCCCCCCCAAGAAAGGCATGAGGAGCAATGGCCTAAAGACACCCCCGTGTAATTGGAAGCAGTCTTTGTCTGCCATCTACCAGGTCAGGCACCCAGAAAGGTAGGAAACTCAAAACAAACTACTGCTGGTCAAAAATTGCAAACCGAAAACCGAACTAGCATACAGAACTCCCCAATTAAAAACAAGGAAACAAACATGACATCACACCCGCCACGCATCTGTCTGCGCAACCTTTCCCCTCCCCGCAAGTGGGACAGGGGGGGGGTGTCCCAGACCTCCATGCCGGTAAGTCTCCTCAGTTCAGAGGTTGAGTATCAAAAACGCGAAAAACCGCCGACCGGAGGGAGGTAGGGATGCCGGGGAGTCTCCGGGTCTTGCCCAGAAAATGGCGTTTCATTACATTCAACGCTGAATTTCTGTGGAGTGCCCCTTCGGTTCCCCGGAGCTACCTAACCAAAGACGAGAAGAAAAATGACTCATCCTCGGCCACCAGGGATGCTGAAAAGGAGGGAACCTGCACGTGAAGCCGCACCTGGCCGACATCATAAGGGAGGACAGGGGCGGAAAAGCATGCATTGAGGTGCTCCAACTCGCCCCCCCAGGAAACCTGAACAACCGTAGTCAACTCTCACCATCCAAGTGCGCAGTCCGACAGGACGAATGCCAAGCCCCCAACAAAAGAAAAGGCAGTCTGCCAGCCAGGAAGACTCCGGCACCTTGCAACGCACCCATTAAGGAAAAAGAGGACCCAAACTCAAAAGAAGATGACTTCAATATCAAGGCGTAATCCGGGTCTCGCAGGAGGTAAGCCGCAAGGGCCTCCCACACCTTCCTCAGTGGAAAGCCAAAAACCTCAGGGAGGAGGGAACCGAAGAACCCAAGGGAACTTGGAACTGATCCCGAGGAGGAGTCGAACTTGTAACAAAATTGTACAGGGAGGGGGATAGGAAAACCTCTTTCCCTGTAACAACAAGCCCCGTACCGAGGGTGCCAAACACCCAAGCAGGGACAAGTGGGGCCCAGGGCCCCCCAAGATAACTCCTCCCCAGCCCCAGAATCCTCCATGTCAGGACCTGAGGCCGAGCTGTCCTCCAAACCCTCTGCCTCTTGAGGAAAAGCAGAGTCCACTGGAAAAGCAGGAATGAAGGGGGCCAGCTGGCGTGGCCCAAAAGCTCCGGCAGGAGAACCAGGCTCGAATGCCTCCGCCGCCGATCCGGAAGAGGCAATCCCTGAAGCCGCCCGAGTCTCACTACCAGTATAATTTAGCGGGGCAGCTGCGGGGCATTCGGAAAGGCAATCAACCTCGCACGTTGCTGCAACCTAAAGCTGCCTGCACCTGAATATCAGTTTCAGTGGACTGGGTGAATGGAGTACAAGCAAAGAACACCACTAGCAGGACTCTGGGTCATAAGTGTCACTGACTCTAACAGGCCACAAGGCGGAGGTAGATGGTGAGTGTCACCCAGAGGCAAGGGGACAGAGCAACCTTCTAACTCGCACAAGGTGAGGTGGGACTCAAAGGTCTCCTACATTGGATCACTGAGCCCCAAAGGGGGTTTCCAGGGCCCTTAGGCTGACTTGTTAAGGGAAGCCCAGGGGAGGTACTGCTAACCGGTTATACCAGAGCTACCAAGCAAACGACTAAAAGCTGAACCCCTGCGATGCGTGCAAACACGGGAATCTAGTGGAGGACCACCAAAATCCTACAAGTGGTCCTACCGCCACACCAGGCAGACCCCCTGCCAGGCAAAACAAAACAAAAACAAAAGAAAACCCCTGCAAAAGCACAACATCTCCAGGTGAACAGAACCGGTTGCTATGCATATATCGGACAGCTGCACAGTACTTCGCGCCCCAGCCAGGGACAAAATTGTGTCCTACCCAAGGGCAAACAAGAGTAAGAACCTCCCCAGCTGAACCCCCAAGGGCAGGCAGAACCACACGGAGGTAGCTGCTCCTGAACGGCTCTTGGAAGATAACCCTGAGGCCGCAAAGGCAATACTTACAGGACACCTAGAGAAGGTAGCTCTAGGTGCATGCAGCCCCAGTACTCTTGTGTTACTTCCAGCTGACACGCCACCAAAACAGAGCAACAACACTGCACTGCAGCACTGCGCAAAGAGTGGAGCCAGAGCGATCGACTGTCACCAACACAACAGGGTCTTCAACTGAGGAGAGTTGCAGGCGTGAAGGTCTGGGGCCCCCCCCCCCCCTGTTCCCCTCCCGGGGAGGGGGGTGTGCAGACAGATGCACGGCAGTTGTGGTGACGTCATGTTTGTTTCCCTGTTTTTAATTGGGAGTTCTGTTTGCTAGTTCGGCTTTTGGTTTGCAATTTTTGACCAGCAGTAGTCTGTTTTGAGATTCCTACCTTTCTGGGTGCCTGATTTGGTAGATGGCAGACAAAGACTGCTTCCAATTACATGGGGGTGTCTTTAGGCCATTGCTCCTCGTGCCTCTCTTGAGGGGGTCAGGTTCTGGCTCTGGTCCCAGGTAGGCTTAGAACACCTTCGATTGTCTGTTGTCACGGTCTAATATATACACATCAGCCCGACATAGCTCTGAGGAGCTGAAAGGGCTCTCCACAGAAAAGTTTCTTGTTTCCATAATGAGACAGAGAGCATGTGAAAATCATAAATTGGCTTGATACAATACTGAGGTAAACCATTGACAACATTGAAAGACTGTTACGAAACACAATAACACAGCCGAGAAGTCTTTATAAAGGAAGAATTTTCAAAAAAACAAACTTTGAAATCATCAAAGCACTAGATATCGAACCATTACTCTTCTGCTTCTTTATTCCTCGACAGTAAGCAAAGCCCCAGCACGCTGGGAGTTCCACTGTGATGAATGCTTCACTTGGTGCTCTTTTCAATGCGTTGCTCTTGCCTAGAATCAATTTTATCATTCAGATAAGTGGGCAGTTCTTGCATTTGTCCTTAAATCCTAGCATGGGGCATATACTATTTTGTGCCTCCTTGATATCTGAACTAATATGGAAATTATTTTAGAATTTCCTATCCTGGTAGTGAAGAATAGAAGTCTTCACATCTAGAATAGAACAAAGAAGAATAGTGAAATCACCAGATTTCTCATACAAGGTTTCAGGGTTTCTTCATTTGCAGTCTCCGTGGTGTAGTGGTAAGACACTCGCCTGGCGTTCCGCGAGCGCTATGTCATGGGTTCGTATCCTGGCCGGGGAGGACTTACTGGGCGCAATTCCTTAACTGTAGCCTCTGTTTAACGCAACAGTAAAATGTGTATTTGGATGAAAAAACGATTCTTCGCGGCGGGGATCGTATTCCAGGGACCTGCCCGAAATGCTACGCGTGCTAGTGGCTGTACAAGAATGTAACAACTCTTGTATATATCTCAAAAAAAAAAAAAAAAAAATAATAATTGCAAGATTTTTCGTAATTTGATTGAATCCAAGGTAAAGCTTTGGAACTTAATTGTCGACACGAGGCCAGTTAGGGAAGATACAAGGGTTAGAGTTGTGTATGTTTAATTACCCAAGTGTAGTTACAAGATGAGAGTTATGCTTATGGTGTCCCATCTTCCCTGAACTTTGTCATATTGCACTTTTGGCATCCACTGCCTTCTCAACTTGTTTCAATTGTCTACCACTGTTTGCAAAAAGAGAAGTTTCTAATTTTGTTGGCACCTTTATTTCCCTAGTTTGAATCTATGACCTCAGGTTCATGAGGGCAGGTTTCAAGAATTTCTGTATTTTGATGATTCCAGTTACTATTTTGTATGTAGTCATAATATTGCCCCTTTTCCTTCTATCTTCTAGCTTTGACAGATTTAACATCTCTAACCTCTCACTTTGTATCTCTTGTTTTTCAGTTCTGGAAGCCATTTTGTAGCACATCATTGCTCCCTGTCCAGTTTATTCATGTGCATTTTGATTGAGCAGACAACTGACAAGGAAGCTTAGTCAGAGACCGTGCCACGGGGACATTGATCATCAGATTCATCGACAATTATGCACCAAACAACTATTGCATGTTCCAGTTTTGGATGGAGTGATAAAAGGAATTAATTGGTGACAGTTAAACGACATAAAAACATTTAAGGTGATTTTATTTTGATGACAATAATTTGATTTCAGAATGCTGAGCGCCAGCTGTTGCGTCGTAGTGCTTCAGTGAGTGGTCGGGGACCTGGCAGACCTCCAGGTCGTCCTCCAGCCAATGCAAAGCGTGAGGATCCTGCTGAGGTTACTGAAGCAATAATAGAAAACGAGGTAAACAAATGATAAATATTTAAGTACTGTACTGTAGATACAACTGGTCATGTCAAGGTTGTAGTGTGGCAATGTTTTTGTGTTATAGAGCACCACTTGGTTTCCGAACTTTAGTTATCCGAAACTTCCAGTTTCCCGATTGGGGTTGGGGAGTCATGTTACCCGAACAAAGTTCGGGTAGGAAGGGGTCCGCCAAGCGTCACGTCGGCCTGTGGTGGTGGGTGGGAGATGGTCCAGTTTGCCCACTGTGACTTCACAGATTCACGGCCTATTATTCCTTTTATTTTGAATTGTCATAAGGCTGGAATGTTCATTCTGTGCTTTTGTTTTACATATCTTCACAATCAAGAAACATCTGTGCACCATGTCAGCTCCAAATGCATGCATTCCGTCAGTGATGGCTGACTGGTGAGTGGATGGATGGGAGAGCTTAGGTAGGAGGCAGTATGAGAGAGGGGGGAGAATCAGTGAGAGAGGGGGATAATTAGTCAGAAAGGGAGGGAGGGAAAGATGCTGGGAGGGAGGGGAAGGTAGGGAGAGATGCTAGGAGGTAGGCAGGAAGGGAGGGAAGTAGTGAGAATTAGGGAGGGAGGGAAAGGCAGGCAGGCTGGCAGGGAGAGAGAGGCAGGCTGGATGGCAGGCAGAGAGAGAGGCAGGCTGGATGTCAGGCAGAGAGGGAGGCAGGCTGGATGGCAGGCAGAGGGAGGCAAGCTGGATCGCAGGCAGAGAGGGAGGCAGGCTGGCAGGCAAGCAGGCAGGCAGGGATAGTCATACGGTTGAACCGCGTGCCACAAAGATATTATCACTTAATTATTTCTATGTCTTTGATTGATTTTTTCTTAGTTTTTTTGCAGTAATATTATTCTATAGTGTGTATTGTAATATATTTATATAATAAAAGTGGTGAATAATCGCTATTCTCAAAAGTATGATGTGCATATTAGTGATTCAATTATTATGTTTATAAAACAATAAACAAATAGTTTTGCTGCTATTACACTCTATACACAGGTTATATATAAGTATCTGCATGTTTTGGTCACCATAACGAACCACTAAGTTGGTATTGAGAGTCGAAAAGCAACGAAGAGTTACCTCCACACACCAGCCAGCCACTCGCTGCCACTCCCTCAACACACGCACTAAAATTTCTCCCCCAACAATACCATTTGTGGTGTTATTACACTATATACAGACGTTATATATAAGTATGTATATATTTTGTTCACAACTGTACAGCTAAGCTGATATAGTTAGTCCAGGCACTAAGAGTCGTCGCTATACACACAGTCAGCTGGCGGCTCCCTCACTCATTCAAGGTCACACGCACTAAACTTTCTCCCCCAACAATACTGTTTGCAGTGTTATTACACTATATACACATACTATATATAAGTATCTACATGTTGTATGCACCGTAACAGTACACCAAAGCTTGTAGTGCGCCCAAAGAGCATAGACAAATCATGCAGACGACGTCACCTCCGTCACCCAAATGGCTCCTCCCAGCATAATCCTTTTGCTGTTATTACACTAATACACACATTATATATAAGTATCTACATTTGTGTTCACCATAGAGAACCACTGAGGTGGTATGGTGAATGCAAACAATAACAGGTAGCCACACAGTCAGTAAACGATGCTGTCTCCCTCCGTCTCTCAGCATCACTCCTCCCACAGCACTAATTATTACAACAATCCTGCTATTATCACAACCCTGGTTATTTATATCACAGTCAGGGGTCATCTGTAATATTGTCATCGCTAAATAATAACAATTATATATTTATTTTGACATTTTTCGGCGATGCTGTGGTCACAAGCTGAACAGCAATGCTGTTCGATCATGCTGCGTGCGCCAGCCTTGGTTGCTCCAACAGTACTGTGCCTCTCACACCTGAGAATATTGCCCACGATTTAAAAAAAAATGACGTCTGTTTACAAGAGCTCTGAGGAAGCTAATGCGAACCCCGTGTAGCCGCGGGCCATTTGAATCGGGCCTGGCACCCTTGGGCGTATACATACGCCATGCGCACGGTGGGACATGTTACTCAGAGCGTATATATACGCCATGCACAGTTTAAGGGTTAAGAGAGAGTATGGGATGTAGGGGGGGGGGGGTTGTCGGTGGTGGGGGAGAGACCGGCTCACTCCCGAAGATAAGCCTAACACACTTGACCCGTTAGCAGGATGGCAGGGAGGGAGGGAGGGAGGGAGGGAGGGAGGCAGGCAGGCAGGCAGGCAGGCAGGCAGGCAGGCAGAGAGGCAGAGAGGCAGGCAGGCAGGCAGAGAGGCAGGCAGGCAGGCAGGCAGAGAGGCAGGCAGGCAGGCTGGCTGGCTGGCAGGATGTTCCTGCAGGCTGGCTGGCAGGATGTTCCTGCAGGCTGGCTGGCAGGATGTGCCTGCAGGCTGGCTGGCAGGATGTGCCTGCAGGCTGGCTGGCAGGATGTGCCTGCAGGCTGGCTGGCAGGATGTGCCTGCAGGCTGGCTGGCAGGATGTGCCTGCAGGCTGGCTGGCAGGATGTGCCTGCAGGCTGGCTGGCAGGATGTGCCTGCAGGCTGGCTGGCAGGATGTGCCTGCAGGCTGGCTGGCAGGATGTGCCTGCAGGCTGGCTGGCAGGATGTGCCTGCAGGCTGGCTGGCAGGATGTTCCTGCAGGCTGGCTGGCAGGATGTTCCTGCAGGCAGGCTGGCAGGATGTTCCTGCAGGCTGGCTGGCAGGATGTTCCTGCAGGCTGGCTGGCAGGATGTGCCTGCAGGCTGGCTGGCAGGATGTGCCTGCAAGCTGGCTGGCAGGATGTGCCTGCAGGCTGGCTGGCTGGCAGGATGTGCCTGCAGGCTGGCTGGCTGGCAGGATGTGCCTGCAGGCTGGCTGGCTGGCAGGATGTGCCTGCAGGTTGGCTGGCTGGCAGGATGTGCCTGCAGGTTGGCTGGCTGGCAGGATGTGCCTGCAGGTTGGCTGGCTGGCAGGATGTTCCTGCAGGTTGGCTGGCTGGCAGGCAGGATGTTCCGGCAGGTTGGCTGGCTGGCAGGCAGGATGTTCCGGCAGGTTGGCTGGCTGGCAGGCAGGATGTTCCGGCAGGTTGGCTGGCTGGCAGGCAGGATGTTCCTGCAGGTTGGCTGGCTGGCAGGCAGGATGTTCCTGCAGGTTGGCTGGCTGGCGGGCAGGATGTTCCTGCAGGTTGGCTGGCTGGCAGGCAGGATGTTCCTGCAGGTTGGCTGGCTGGCAGGATGTTCCTGCAGGATGGCAGGAAACATCCAGAGGATGTTTGCCAGAGGTCTTAATAATCAGCTAGGAACAATTAAGGACTTTTATAAAACGGATCAGGACTTATTGGCGAGTACAAACAAAATACGGTCACATTTATGATATGAACCTGTCAATTCCCCCCCCTTTTTTTTTTTTTTTTTTTTTTTTTTCCCCAAGTTTATTTTCTCCCTCTATTTCTTGTTTACGAACTTACATGTTAACCAACGGGTCTCGTCCCCAAGGGGTTCGGAAACCAAGTGGTGCTCTTAGTTGAATGCATTATTAAATATGCATTCTTACTAGTCACCTAAGAAAAGGTTACGACATGTCAGAATTTCTGTATATGACAGGAGGGTCAGCATCATCCTGGCATCTAATATTATCCAAGATTACCTACATCCAGGGTGATACTTACTGAACTGTCACTGGCTGTGATAGTGTCAAGCAATTACCTAAGTGTAGTTACAGGATGAGAGCTACGCTTGTGGTGTCCCATCTTCCCAGCACTCTTTGTCATATAACGCTTTGAAATTACCGACGGTTTTGACCTCCACCAACGTCTCGCCTAACGTGTTCCAACCGTCTACCACTCTGTTTACAAAAGTGAATTTTCTTATATTTCTCCGGCAGCTTTGTTTCGTTAGTTTAAATCTATGACCTCTTGTTCTTGAAGTTCCGGGCCTCTGGAATTCTTCCCTATCAATTATATCGATTCCTGTTACTATTTTGTAATTAATGATCGTATTGCCTCTTTTTCTTCTATCTTCTAGTTTTTGCATATTTAATGTCTCTAACCTCTCCTCGTAGCTCTTGTCCTTCAGTTCTGGGAGCCACTTAGTTGCATGTCTTTGCACCTTTTCCAGTTTGTTGATGTGCTTCTTAAGATATGGGCACCACACAACCGCTGCATATTCCAGCTTTGGTCTAACAAAAGTTGTAAACAATTTCTTTACTATTTCTCCATCCATGTATTTAAAAGCAATTCTGAAGTCAGAAAGTGTAGCATAGGCTCCTTGCACAATGTTCTTAACCATTAACCCTTAACATGCTCGGGGTTTAATATCCTGTCATTCCCACAGGCGCATGTCATTTTAAAAAAAAAAAAAATATTTTTTCTTCCTATCCTGTTAATTTGTGTTCACTGATCACGGGAAAAATAAAAAAAAAATCGTAAGTGGCATATATTGCCCGCTATAGGGCGGGGAAGTCTGGCAAATTATAGGCGCTGGCTCAGCGTGCGTCCCAGGCGGTCTGTTGCTCGCAAGCTGTCAGGCCGGAGTTGCCACAAAGAGATAATTACCGAATTATTTCAATGTGTCTGATTGATTTTTCATACTTTTTTTGCTGTAATATTATTCAATAATGTGTAGTTTGATATATTTATATAATAAAATTAGTGAATCATTGCTGTACTCAAAAATATGGTGTGCATATTGTTGATTTAATTATGTTCATCAATCGGTGAACAAATACTTTGTCGGTTATTACATTATAAGCACTGGTTATATATAAGTATCTGCATGTTTGTTCACTATAACGAACCACTAAGTAGCTATTATGAGTCAAAAAGTAACGAGGAGTGACCGCCATTTACCAGCCAGCCACTCCCGCCCTCCCTCCAGTCATCTGACTCACCCACATTCTCCTCCCACAATAATGTTTTTGCTATAATTCACTATATACAGACATTATATATAAGTATCTACATGTTTTGTTCACCATATCTGTACATCTAAGCTTGTATGGTG